ACACACACACACACACACACACATGCACACAGACACACACACACACACGCACTCACACATACACACACACATGAGTCGATGAAAGTCTGTGAACAGATTTGAAAAAAATGCCCGTCTCTTCGACTACCAATTAGAGGACAGGGTCATTATATCCGTACTATGGACAAATTTCAGGGGAGACTGGTGAACATACGGTAACTCTTTCATCCCATTTGGGGGAGGATGGTAATGTCCTATAGACTGATTAGTCGCTGGATGTCGATCCACACACAGGATAAGGGTCCGACCCTGCTGGTGCTATGTTTATGCTAGGAAAGCACACACCTGACCATGATTACGGCCAGGTTCATGCTTTCCAAGCATGAAAGTAGCACCACTGTGGCCTGCTTTTGAAGGGCAGACCCGTCTACTAGTAGCCGAATTGCATGCTATAGGATCACTGTGGTCAGGTTCACACATTGATAAAATGGAAATCTAGCATTGGGCCCTGATCCACAGTGACTGCTCTTTCACGTTCAAACCCTGTTCAGAACAAGTGATTTTCTTCTTCTTCTTCTTCTTCTTCTTCTTCTTCTTCTTCTTCTTCTTTAAAGTGTGACAGCCTTGAGATATCACCGTTGAACCGACTGGCCCCACGTAATTCAGAGCTATTTTACTCTGCTCATCTGATTGCAACTGGATTAATTTTGAGCTTGGGTCTATATTTCAACAGTTCGTAGGTGCACCAAGTGCGCTACTAGTAGGCCCGCTGGCGAGAACAAGTAGGTCTGGCACACTACGAAATAGTATGAATGCAAAGCTCTGTTATGCATGCATGTTATGCCTCAGTCTTGGTCCCTGTCCTTCCATCATCAACAACAGGCACCGGCATCAGTACTCTTCGAGCATTAGTGAGGATTCATCATCATAGTTGGACATTAGCAACATTCGAAGATGAACTTTATGCAAACGACCTACAAGGGAATAAGTACGATAAATGTTGGGCAGGAGGTTAATCCTTCTTCCCCAGAGGGGAAGTAATAAATGCCTACTTGCGAATCATGGCGATGTTACAGTAGCTGAAACCAGGGAATCTGTCTCTGAGGGAGCAGTGGCCAAGGCTCTTTCAGCCTTAATGGGAAGAGGCATGAGTGAATTTACGTATCTGATTTGTTTACATGAGCCTTGAACTGGGCCGCTGTTGGGGGGTGGAAAAGAAGAAGAAGAGAAAACGACGGTGCAGTCAGGGTTTGGGTTTGAAAATGCACTTCAGGCAAAAGGCCCGAAAACGTAAAGAATGTATACAAGCTAGGTTTCGGGTCCAGTAGGGTCAAGTGGGTGTGTGTTATGTTCGGGGGAATGCCTGACGCGGATTTTCAAACTGTTTTTGTTACTGCGCCATAGTTACCCCAAGAAAAAAAGCTTCATGCAGAGGTGTTCAATGGTGGCCTCTTTCGCTGAGGAGATGTCATAGAGGCTGGTGTATTTTCCACTTGTCCTCGCTCCTGGTTCTCACCTTCGCCTTCTCCTTGTCCTCCTCACGATGTTTTCTTTTCAGCCTTCTCCTTTTGTCTTGGTGAGGAGTTGACTGAAGCTGTGTTAAAGAAAAAAAACAAAAAAAAAGGGAAAAAAAAAAACAAAGAGAGGTAGAAGCAGCACTTTGTTACTGATCGGCCCAACGTTGCACGTTGTTAGCTTCCCTCACACCTGACCGGTCTTACCTCTCACCTGACCGTCTTTCCACTGACCGTCTTTCCATGTCATAAAGGTGGTAGTATCGGGGCAGGACTTTGGATGATGGAACCTCAGCCAACTAGTTAGCTAGCAGTATTGGTCAGCTGGTGGACAGCCAACCAACATTCTCAGGAGGTTTTGTTTTGCCTCTTTTTTTATAAAAAAAAAAGGGGCGACGGCCTTGAGGTATCATCATGGAGCTGATCGGCCCAATGTAATTCAAAATGATACTGTTCTGTTCATCTGACAGCATTTGGATTCAAACTTGGGTCTGTATTTCTATTTCAACAGTTCATGGGTGAACCAACTGAGGGCACGCTCACACTGCGTACCCAAATCAGATGCCCAATTTGGGAAAAATGGTGGCTGGACCGGTCACACTGCTTCCCCATTTCGCAACAGACAAGGTTGCAGCTGCCTGGATTTTGGGTCCTCTTCGACTGCTCCAAAAACATAGATTGCTCGTAGCTAAATATGAATTAAAATTTAAAATGCATGCAATATAAAGCTATTTGTCAAGATAGAGCTTCTTCCTAACCAAATACTTTGTGAATATACTCTCAATCTAGCCAAATTACCAAGAAATAGTTCCAAGACACGAGTGAGAAATCGATGTATTTTGACAGGAAGATCTCGTTCCGTATATAAATTATTTTGTGTTTAGTTTTTCCCCAACTTTTCCGTGAATTAGCATCCAGAGGTGAATTAGATGGCAGTCACACTGCGAGATCACATTTCCTGGCAATATCTCCGTCTTCGGCGTCTTCAAATTTCTTTCCATTTCCGCAGGTTGATTCCGAACAAGAAAGGGAATTTGCGGTAACCTCCCGAAGTTACCACAAATTCCCAACCCCCGCGGCCCCTCAGGCCGCTGACAAATGGGGTCACAAATAAGTAGTTTGGGGAAATGAGATTCTGGTGTGACTATCCCTCAACACTTTTTTTTTCGGGATTTTGGGGATTATGCGGATTTGGTACCACAGTGTGAGTGTGCCTTGAGCTAGGCCCTTCGGTGACTTTCTCATTAGTTGTTTGGGCACAGTTCTTCACTTTTTTTCCCTCTCTTTTTTTTATATATAATTTCTCTGAAGCTAGCTACCAGTACTGGTAAGCTTGGCTGTTAGCCAACCTTCTCTCTCTCTCTCTCTCTCTCTCTCTCTCTCTCTCTCTCTCTCTCTCTCTCTCTCTCTCTCTCTCTCTCTCTCTCTCTCTCTCTCTCTCTCTCTCTCTCTCTCTCTCTCTCTCTCTCTCTCTCTCTCTATCTATCTATCTATCTATATATAAACAGACTACAGGCCTGGTGGAGGTGCTAATATGAGCAGGCACCTCTTGCAGCCTTGGGCCTGGCTCCAGTCTATTGGTGGGGAGCTTTTCCCTGCTGCAAATCAGGTCCAGCATCCCTTACAGCAAGAAGATGACACAGGATTGTACAGAATGCTTGGAATATATGGACTATCTGAAATGTGTGGGATGTCGCCTGCCTCGTCCGCCCTGAATGGGGCGCCTGCTCTATCGTTACCCTGGTTAGGGTAGGACCCCACTGGCGGCAAGCCTTTGGAAGATATTTTTTGGGACTCCACTGCTGGCGGCAAACGCAAGCATTTTTGTAAATCTCTAACCAGTCCCCGTGCTTCCTTTCCGCACTGGATGGGTAAATCTAGAGGGTGCATTTGCCTACCTTTAGAGCTCGGCAAACCCACCCTCTAGATTCACCCATCCCTTGTGGAAAGGAAGCATGGGGATTGGTTGGTGTGCTGAAAAAGCGGAGGCAAACTTGCCCGAAAAGTCTTCCTGATCGGGTAGCATAAACCTCGGGAAGTGCCAAAAATTGCTGTGGCGGTGGAGTCCCTTTTCATTTGCCCATTCCCGCCGGCTACGATTCTGGGCGGACAGATGTTTTCCTGGCGCCAAGCACCGCCAAGCAGTGGGGTCCTACTCTAAGTTTATACGCATCACATATGCAGTTCTTCGACTTCCTCAATTGCTGGAATTTTGCCAGTATAGTAGAGTACCTACCTACTTGCCAGTCGCGCAAGTGCCTCAAGAAAATCCACAAAAGATGCTGAATGTGACAGCCCCCTGAGCTTGGTGATGTCCTCTGTGGTGAAGAACAAGCTTGCATAAAAGGCAAGTTTCGCGTCACTCACAGTCAAATGGAGCTCCACAATGCGGGCACTGAACAGTAACTGAAGCCACTGAGAAGCATCCATAGTCTGCACAATGCCACAAATAGCCAAGCCAAGAAAAAGATTTGTCATGAACCTAAAATTATTATGAGATCATATCTTCAAAAGGACAGTCCGCAGTGATATTCTGCAATGACCTCCCCAGTTCACGCCAATTTACACGTTCAGGCGAGCTCATGAACCACCGCACCAAGCTCCGCACACGATGTACAAGTTGAACACAAAATGAGAATCTCCGTCTGTCTAGTATCCCACCTCTACAGCAACCTGGGCTTAAAAAATAAAATAAAAAATAAAAAAAAATAAAAAAATTAAAAAAAACTCTGATTTGCTATTTGGCAAACCAAAGAATCATTAAACCACCAGTACCTCGCTCAGCTATCAAGTCCGAAGCTCGGACTACCGGTAGCCCGATAATTCCCGAGCCTCGGACTTTATGGCCGAGCATAGGACAACCGGTAGCACATCACAGAAACAAAAAAAACAAAAAAACAAAAAATGACACATTCAACGTTCAGCAGAAAAAAAAAAAAAAAAAAGAAACGAAATCAGACGTGCCC